CAACAAATGACTGAGCTACACCCGTTTGAAGCCGATAGAGTCAGCAAAGTCAGCTTTGAGAAAAGTACCTAGCAACATTGCATCTTCTCCTCCACTGCTTTTCTTAATAAGAACTATTTTATTAATAATCACAATATAGCTATTTTTATTTTACCTTTGTTATTAAAAATTAGAACAAAGATGCAAATAAACAGTAGAACAAATATAAGAAAGAAAAAAATTGTGCATTACTTTTTTCATCTTATATCTAAACAGAAGCAAGTAAGAAAACAAACACACTAATAAAATGTTCTAACCAATCACACACGATTATGCTGAGCTTATGAATGCAATGGCCAATCAGAGGCGTTCAGATGAGTCCACTGAAACAGTAGAGTTCTGTTGTTCAGCGCGCGCTGACTGAATTCTGACTCGCGAATTCTCTCCTTATAAACAACAAAGTGCAGATGTACGTGCGATGTAAGTATAAGAGATTTATTCATCATATAGTGTATATTCACTGAGTTTAACGGGAGTGTTTTTAAAGTGCATAAACTCGCGCTAGACTGAGCTTGTGATGATGTTCTTTGGTAATGTAAATGGTCTTTGCTCGTTTTCTGTAGCTGCTTTTTGAATAACTGAGGAAATGTAAGCATTATAATTAGTAACTTACGATGTTTCTATTAATTTGTTATCATGTTAAATACAAATTCAGTCATATTAAAAACAGGCTGCTTTTAGCCTTACGCTGGAGTTGGTTCACTTCCTCGCAATGAAACTAAGTAAATAATTACATAAATTAGCACGATAATATCGTGTATCGGCGATCTCACAAGCTGACGATAGGACGATATGAAAATTGAGCATATCACCCAACACTAGTGCATTCATTACAAATAATCTGATTATTAAAACTACAAAAGCAGTTCAATGGAGAGCAGAGAGTGGTGAGGGGAAGCACCAATCATCAAGAAGTTTATATATAACTCAGGGTTGTTGCAGTATCAGTATCGTTATGGGATGGGAAAAATTAAAAAGTGGTATTGATCCATCCCAACAAAAAGTATAAAATTTACTCATTTTGTGTGCAGTGTGTATTTTTTATGCTTAGAGTATTGTGATGTCAGCTTAGCGACAAACTCTATTGGAATCAATTAGTGCACTTCACATTAGGAGTGCTATTTGTATGATAGGCTACATGGGGTTCCTGCCAACGCAGAGCGTTCCAAATCAGTCACTTACGAGTGTCAAATAAATTCCATGTTAAAAAATGTAGTGCGACTGCCGCTTGCACAACACGAAAGCAGCAGCTTTTATTCTTAAGACAAAAGTGAGATTGGAAAGATCATGACAACACAGGACTCTACATGGGCGAAGGCCTACAGAAGTTCCCCCACAGGAAGTACCAGAAAAGTGTGTTCTGAAGACTCTGACAGCTCGTGTACTGCTTTACCGTCAGCTGAAGTCAGCGGTGTTGAGAGAAGCGTGTTTTAAAAGAAAGAGTGAATGCTTGCCAAATACAAAGACGCTGTCAGGTATGAGAGCCACGAGAGGCATGACCATGGATTTATTTGATCAAAAATACAGTAAAAACAGTATTGTTGTAAAATATTATTACAATTTAAAGTAACTCTTTTTTATTTTAATATATTTAAAAAATATTAATTTATTCCTGTGATCCAAAGCTGAATTTTCAGCATCATTACTCCAGTCTTCAGTGCCACATGATCCTTCAGAAATCATTCTAATATTTAGTGCTAAAGAAACATTTCTTATTATTATCAATGTTAATATTTTTGTGGAAACATTCCTTTCAGAATTCTTTGATGAAAAAATTTTTTTTTTTTTAAAGCATTTATAAATCAATCTTTTGATCAATTTAATGTTTTCTTGCTGGATACATTTTTTGTTTTGTTTTGTTTTTAATTATTGACCCCAAACGTTTGAACAGTAGTGCAATTTTTATTTTGATTTACATTTTTTGTTTCAAAAAAACAGAATGACGTTTAAACTTATACACATTATTTAAATTATTATAAAAAAAATGATATCACCAAAAAAGAAAAAAAAGGTGCAACAGACATTAATGTACACTTGCACTGATTGAAAATTGCAGGTGTGTACCAAGACATCCGCGAAGTGTACCAAACCAAATACACAAATAAATCTATCTGCACTGTGCAACAAAATAAACAAAGGAACAACAAACAGTGGCTGCTAGATGAACAATTTTTAAAGACTTTCATGAAGCTTGTGGGGGAACAAAGGCAGATGCATGGCATATTTCAGTAATTCCTGAACATGAATGCTGTCTTCTTGAGGAAATCACTCAACATGTTATCTGAATTGCCTGTCAGATGACCAAGGACACTCATGCCCCTATACATAAAGAAGATATAATGTGAAAAACGTGTCTTTAGAGTCATAAATGGGGTGTGATGGCTGTCGGTGTCTTTTAAAAGAGCAATAAAGAAAAAAATATATGTTTTTAACCACGTAGTGAAGCAACCTTATCTCTAGAAGTGAAAGATAGGGGAAGGTCTACTGTTTACTACATGATAGGCCTTCACTATCACAGGCCCCCACTGCATATCAGCTACAAAAGGTGTCACCAGTGACAAGCGTCTTTACCCCGGGCCGAGTGACTGAATGGCACGTAGGCGGAATTGCACTGAGATCCAGCTCTTGCGTTTACGACCACTGCCTGCTCAATCTACTCCTAACTAGCACCAAGTTAAAGCCACAGAGTCATCTCAAGCCCTGGACAGTTCACCATTTCCTCTTGAGTATGCCAACAAGTTGATATATTGTGTACAACTTGCAACGCTGGAACCGAAAGTCGAGCATCTAAGAGGAAGCCGAGCAGTGACACTTCTCAACTGAAACTGTGTCACCAGATATGCACTGTCGCTTTTCAATCGAGAAACCATTTTATAGTTACTGCCATTTCTGGCATGCTTGTGACATCCGGAAACAAACAAGAAACATTTTTGTCTGAATGTTTGTTTTTAGGGTTCTGACAGATTGTCATAGCAGTACATATTAACCATATCTTTTCAAAATACAACCTCACGTCACTTTGAAAACAACTTGTCTTATAGGCTACACATTTCAAAAATGTGGGATCAGCAATATTTTTACTTTTTATATGCATTTTTTAAAAATAAATTAATAGTTTTTTCAGCAAGCATGCATTAAATTGATCAAAAGTGACATTTACAATGTTAAAATGTGTCAAATAAAAGCTTTTTTTACTTTCCATTTCTGATAGCACAACTGTTTTCACCATTGATTAAAAAAAAAAAAGGTTTCCTGATATGCAAATCAGCATTTTAGAATGACTTCTGAAGGATCATGTGACACTGAAGACTGGAGTAATGATGCTAAAAAATTTAAAATGTATTCAAATAGAAAGCAGTTATTTTAAATTGTAATAATATTTCACAATATTGCGGTTTACAGTATTTTGATCAAATAAATGCAGCCTTGGTGACCATAAGAGATTTTTTCGAGAACATTTTACGGACCCCAAACTTTTGAACAGTAGTGTATATTAAACTAAATAACCGACTTCATTACCAACAAATAAAATTCATACATGACTAATAAACTTTGGTGGAAATGTAAACAACTTCATAAGAGCATCCCAAGATATGGCACCTCACCTCACCAGTCAAAAGGTCTAGACACAAGTCATTAAATTTGTTTTTAGATTTCATCTTATTTTAATAGCAGGATGCAACTCATGAAGTTGGTTAAGAAAATGAACAGGGCTGCGTTTCCCAAAAGCATCGTAAGCTTAAATTGATCGTAAAAAGGATCTCACGAATCATCTTAGACTTGCGGACCATAGTATAATATTAATCTATAAGTATAATATTAATCTACTATATATATATATATATATATATAATATATTATACTTTATATTATATCCGAGCTGTCTGGAACGCAGCATTAGGTTAACAGTTCAATAAACGAGTGTGTACTACAATTACGGGCCATTCTATAAATTGACATTTCAGCACTTGACAAACGGATAGCGACTCCTAAGTAGCACTTAAAGCACGGCTACGTGCGATTGTGTTAAGTGCTTTTTCGGGAAACGTACGTGAGACAATAACGAACGTTCGTAAAATGACTCATAGAAAACGCTCTTAAGAGCTAAGATCAATTGTTATCGAGAAACGCAGCCCAGAACTGGAAACCAGATTATATGTGGTTGGTTTAACATTTCTGTTTACTAAGTATCTCACATAATTCAATTGTTTTAATGACTTTAGTTATACTAATAATCCGTAAAAAAAAAATAAAAAACATCCAAAATAATCTGTAAAAAAAAAAAGAGTGGGTGTGTCCAAACTTTTGACTGGTTGTGAAATATCAAGAAATGTCACAACCCTAGTAATGAGAACAACCAAACATCCATCACGTCCCTGCATTCCTCACAAAACAACCACAGCAGGCATGCACAGAGATCTGCACATTAATGCTACGAACGCTGCATGGAAAATTACCAAGATGAAGCAGTAAATGACTATTAATTTGTTGAATATAATTCAAAGTGCATGCTACATTTCTGTTCATCCACATTTGTTGACACTTTTCCCATTAAATATTCCAATTAATATCAAACAATCTTACCTGAGCCTGTGTGTATGCTTTAAAAAAATAAAATAAATAAACATTGTCTGGAGCTAAACTAAATCAAGACAAAAGAAGAGTAGGGTTCCCACACCTTTAGACCGAATTCCTTGATTACTGGTTAAAGTTTTATAAAAAAAAAAAAATTTATATATAGAGATAACACTTGCACAGACCAAATTCTAGTTAATGAAATATTGAGTGTACCTCAAAAAATCCACTATATAATCATTCAAATGAGTTTTCTACGCCTAGAAACTTGTTTTTAAAATCCCTTGACGTTTCCAGGCCTTCCATGACCGTGGGAACCCTGCATGAGAGTGAACGTTCAAGCAGTCAGACCCCTTAAATCATTCAGATCACCAGTGGCACCTCACCTGTCGTCCTCCCCATCAATGGGAATGGGTATACCGAAAAGACTGTTGACAGCCGGACTGGGCAACTGCAGGCCTTCTGTGATTAAGGGCTTCACCGTGTCTTTACTGTGAACCTGCGCAGACGCATCAGACATCCTCCGACTCTCATCCATCTGGCTGAAGACGCTGATGCCCATGCCCGCTGCCGTCCCACTGTGTGCGGAGGTATTGGGTGATCCTACTGCGAGCGTCACCGGTGCTACGGGCAAGCTCTGAGTGCTTTGCGGAGTTGTCGATAAACCATGCATTACTCCTGAGGCCTGGTATTGTGCCACCGGTTGCTGCTGCTGCTGCAGAATAGAGGGCATAGGGGCGACGCTGCTCAACAGCCCCACCACAGGATGCTGCGCCAGATTTGGGACAGGCGACACCGGTGCGTTCCCTAAGGGAACACCTCCAGGGAGTCCAGACATTTCTAGTGTACCCAGAACCTGCACCCCTCCTGTGGCCGGGGTCGGAAGAGGGGACAACCCCTGACTGACGACATGTCCGACGGAAAGGCTCACCCCAGGGAGAGTCTGGGTGACTGTAATGGGCATGCTGCGCTGGCCGTAATCAGGCTGACTGGTTGATATCAGAGCCGGCTGGCTTTGCAGTTGGTGCGTAATAGGCTGGGGTTGATAAAGCAGCGGCTGCACTTGAGGAGAAGGAGGGATGCTGGGAGATTTCTGAAGGTGGGCACCCGGGTGTCCTCCCTCGTGAGCGGGTGGATGGAGACTGTGCTGAGCAGACGGAGGCACTGGCTTATTATTACTAAAGGACTCAGGTGACCCGGACCCCAGGGCCACGTTGAAGCTGTGCGATTCTAGATTATGAGGCGGACTGGTGAAACACGACCCGTCTGAATTTACATCAGGAGCCATTACGGAGCCGACGGTGGCCCCGAGCCCACTGTCTCTATCCGCTCCGGGCTCGGTCACATTGGTGTGCCTTATACTATCCACAGTCCTGCTCATCCCAGAGCCCTCGGGGTCTTTCTCATAATACTCCATACAGGTCCACCGGCCCCTCCTGAAGGGCTCTCCGGTGCCGTGATCAAGCTTAATGACCCTGAAGCGAGAACTGCAGCTGGTTATAGTCGTCGCGCTTGATGAACTAGTGACTTGCGCTGTTTGAGTCCCAGAGGCCTGGATGCCCTGGTGGTGACCCAAGTTGCGCGGGCCAAAACCGCCGTTCTGGGGGGGCTGGCCCTCTGAATCCCCCACATTATTCAAAGCCTCCTCTGAGGAGCTCCTGTCACATACCTCAGTCCTGGACCTGTCAAATATCTCGGAGGACACGTCCTCTGTCCGGGACTCATCCGGGTCATCCAGGCTCTCGGTGTCGTCGGTCGCGTTGTTGGCCGCGACTTGAGCCTGAGTCACACTCGTGATCTGAAAGCAACTCTTCTTCTTGGCCGGCATCCTAGACATGCTTAACAGCTTTTTGAGACACCTTAAAGACGCCGCTGACTTGACAAAACAGCAAACAGTTGCCCCAAATTTCACAGTTTTCTGCGACGATTGTGCGTCATCCGTCTTCCTCTTCTCTCCTGTTGCATTTTCGACGCGCGCGCGGCGGACGAAAACAACCTCCGCGAGCGGTGTGTGCGAGATGACGTGTCGGTTATTAATTTATCCTCATATGCTGGTGATCAGAGCTCGGTAAGGGCGGTGTGTGTAAGGCCGCTGTCGTAGATTCGGCTGCGTTCACTCCCCCTGCTGCCTCTCACTTCTCTACCTACATATGAGTATCAAACACATCCTGAACGAGCGCGTTTAAACGCCGCCTAATGTGTCACGACACTCGGCGACTAGATGCCGGCGTACTAACAAAACAATCACGAAAACAGTTTGAAATTAAAGTTTATAGCTAACTATAACTAGCAGACTTCGGAAACAGAAAATCGAAAAATTTCACCTCCCGACAAGATGGCTATGTAAATTCGCGATGCATGCTGGGAAACGAGCGCAACAGGCATGGCGCGTAAATAGGATGGTGAATACGGATCCTACGTTCGAACAAGTGCAGTGGCGTAAGTGCCTTTATATTTACATTTAGTCATTTAGCAGACGCTTTTATCAAAAGTGACTTACAAATGAGGACAATGGAAGCAATCAAAATCAACAAAAGAGCAATGATATGCA